CTTCCTGCTGCTGCCAACATCCTGCGCGCCGTTTCGACGTGTTGGACCTTCAATCGCAGTCTGACGCTGCCCTTGCTTGTCGATGCCGAGTCCATCTCGTGGTGATCATGTACCGCCGAATCGTGCATGAGGATGCCCGTTCTATCCGCAGCCCGGAGCAACTCGCAAAAGTAAATGCCATTAGAGTTTGCGGAAAGCGGAGGTTTCACCCTTCATTGATTGGGACTGCCGCCGCGAACCCACCACGCGCACATGTCAAACGCTCTGTTGGTTGACTGCTGTCGCACTTAGGCTCCGACAAATCCCCCGGAAGTTACCAATCGCTTCACCCTGGCCGAACACAGCGTCGTCTTCCGCGCTTTCGCATTCGACCCTGATGGACCCTGTCGCTGAAACCTTGGTCGGTAACTTTGGATGGTTTGGTCGTTTTATGACGCGGTTTGCCAGTCTTTCCGTACTTCAAAAGTCAAAATCCTTACCCTCGGCAATGGCTACGCAGAGTTGCACAGCGTCCTTGCTGAAGACCATCAACCGATGCAGTCTTCCGCCCTAGCTTACACGAGAAGACGCATCATAGCACCAGTGGTATATGGTTTGCAGTATTTCGCGCAGTCTCCTGCAAACGTTCTTCAGCCAACCTGAAATCACTGCACCCACCGCGATATGCGCTTGGCCGTCGCCTGAGGCCTGGATCCCACACTCGTTTCACTCTATTCGATTGCAGCCTCGCCAAACCACCTGAACCCACCCGTGCTATCTCCATCACGCGGTAATATCGCACGGACCTGCATGCCTCAAATTACGCTTTGCAACGACTATCGCGCAAAGCGTGACAGCAGAGTACACCCGAAGTCCTTACATGAGCCCGTGCTAAACCTTCAGGCTAGGTGCATGCCTATGAATGACGTCTGCGCTCCACCGACCACACTTCCTCTGCCTATGCTGTCTCGATATCAGGCCATCTTTCGCTACACTCAGCGCCCCTGGAGGCACTACAGAGCCACGTTGACCTAGCGTGTTCAATAGACGCCGCAAGACCCAAACAGTCGCATTCAGCTGCTGCGGCTCAGTGTACTGGGCGCCTCTTGAACACGAACGTCACACTGGGAAAAGCCACGTCTTGACCCTGGGCCATCTTGGACAATCTCCAGCAGGCGCAGCCTTACCCTCAGATACCGATCGTTCCAATGGTCGGGCCCAGGGAAAGCCACCATGCAGTCAAGATGCCACACATGACGACCACCCCGCGTTCATATGGTCTGATAGCAGCAAGCACGTACCTTTCTGTACATACCAACATACCTCATATTCCACAGGGTCTACTACATACGATGCGCTGGCATGCTGCGCGCTCCTGTGTCCACGATCCGGCAAGATCGGAGCGTACATCAAGCACCGAGAGGCTTGGAACAGTTCGACTTGTGCATTACTCAAGGGTGGCCTTCTGGAAGCCCCTGTCTTTCTAGAAGATATGATCTGATCGGTGAAAGAATGTGAGAGGAACCATTGGTGCGCTCAACCCCTTACTTAACACGGGAGATTCGGCGGCTGCAGACGTTACGTCCAGCGGCATTCGACAACTGCACATATACGAGGCTTGAAATAGAAGTGCGGGTGCAGATCATGCTGTTGGTACTGGGCATGTGCTGGTCAATCAGCGTCACAGGGAGTGCAGGGCGCTAACTCGATTTCAAGACGTTGGCTGTCTGTCGTATCGACTGCTATCTCTTTCCATTGGCGACTTGGAGCATTCCAACATATAAGCTATTGCTTTGCAGACACCGTGACGTCTACCAGCTGACCTGGTACTCATGAGGTAACCCGTCCAGATCTCACACAGCCTTCATTCCAAGGACATCTATGCATCACTGACAATAGCGATGGTATTGTTCGTTGAAATTCCGAACGGCCTCAAGAATGGCACGTACACGTCACCTTACGCGTCAGTTTGTCTGCCCGTGTCAGTCTGCGCTTCATGCTGTGTCGGGTCGTTTCAACTCCGTCATGCACTTTGCAGTTGCGATACCTCGTCCATTGTCCTTCTGTTAAGGCCTAGCGAGTCAATTCGCACTGCCAAAGTCGGTCTTCTCATCAGATTCTGCCATGGTACTGATTCATCGCTGCTTGATCGTCGAAAAGTGTTCTCTTCTCTCAACGTACGAACCATCAATCACCGTCTTCATTCCATGTGTCTCACTTGTTTGCGATTCGAATATATCAAGAACGATATGATTGTGCGTGTAAGTTACATTTCCGTACGTATTCTCCAAGCTGCTGAACACATCTTCTGTTCTCTTCAGATCACACACCACAAACCCAACCCCTTTCTCCCACGAATCCCGGTCATCTCGCCGCACTCAGAGGACATGATACCATCCTTCCCCCGGTTCTTTACAGCTGTACAGTGAGTCAGCATCAGAAGCGATCAACCGAGCAATAGCTCACTGTACTGACCGTCGTCCAGCATGACTGAAAAGAGCTGATCATAGACAGCCAACACCATCTTCACAACGTGCCCCTACCGCACACCACTCGTAAGACGATCCGTCGTCTTGGCAGGGCCAGCTTATGTTCTTGCGGACAGCAGACCATGGTTCAGGAAAAACCTGACACCAGCGGCCTACGCAGTCATCCGGACGTGGTCTTATTGATACCTGTGGTGCTGGTGCCGGTGAGGCAACTGCACTGATAGCAGTAAGAGAGAGGAGAGTGAAAGTAAGGCTGAGGAAGTGCATATTGAGGATGCTGCTTATTCGAGTGAAGAGGACTGCGGCTCAAGCGAAGTAGACAGTATGAAGCTATTGCTTTGAAGAGATAAGTGAGGAGAGAAAGAGAATGGAAACATTGGCCCTCTTATATACATCTTTTGGTGGTGTCTGGGCAAGCCGGCATCTTACTCAACATCTAACTTACTCCACTTACTCCACTTACTGACTGCACGATAGTACCTCCAAGAGTATCGATTCTGCGCACGCGTCCTTAACTCCACACCTTCACGTCTAGCATTCTCGTCCTTCAGACGCAACGGATGTGGGCCTTCATTCGCCAGTACCTCCATTCGCTCTCGTATACACAGAACCGCATATCGATAGTGGATCGCGATAGGATCTAGATTGCCATCTAGCCGTCATCTTCGTGTTCATCTAGTCGAAGCGATGCGGCGCAGATGGTCCTCGAACGCATCGGTTGGATAGCGGCAACGGCGCCTACTCCCGCAACTAGTGATCACGGTCACTCCGATCGATCACATGGTGTCTTCAATAGGTCCCTCGATCTCATTTTGGTGTGCGGCGTGGGCAAAAGGAGTCCTTCGCTGGTTTGCCAAGACCCCTTGCTTAATGCTTCATGCGGGACGTATCCTCGGCGAGTCGGACAACACCACCACGGCATAGTCGTGTAAGTGGAGATAAGAGGAAGTTATATCTTGTGGTAACGATTCGAAAAAGAAGGCTTGGTGTGAGAGCGAGCACCGTCATAGTATCCGAAGCGGCTAATATGTAGACATCGTTGGTTAGAACTTATTCCAAAATAGAGCTCGCCCCACACTACTCCTCCTTCCCTCCATCGCATTTCTGGTCTCATTCTCGAACTCCTCCTTATCTTCACACACACTTTCACGTCCCACAACATCCCCCTCCACACCCTCCATAGTCACTATCGCCATCTCATCATCCACCCATCCCCGATACTCAAACCCATCTTCCAGCCTTCCTCCGCCGAGCCTCTCCTCCTTATTATCTTCTTCATCCCCCTCCTCAATATTATCTCCCCACCCCTCCATCATCGCGCCCTCAAACATGAACGCGCCCCTCCCCTTCCTCTTGACAATCATCTGTGTAACCCACTCATACCCGACATGCCACCCGTTCCCATCTTTGAACTCTGACTCTAGCAACCAACTATCTCTTATCTCCTCTTCTATATCCGTGGTCTTATCCCGAGGTCGATTAGAAGAGGCTACGTGCTCGTGGTATGCAGTGCCGGTGACGAGCGAGGGGGCGAATGCTGTGGTGGGCATATTGGATGCGGGGGCGAAGGTTGAGGGTCGGACCTGTGAGAGAGGCGAGCGGTGGATGACGACTGTGTGGGTGCAATTTGGTGTAGAAGCTGTATTGGTGAAGATGTGGGTGAGGCAGGAGAATGCCATCTTGACGAGGGTTTATCAATGTCCTTCAAGTAATGGTGACACGGTAACTCTGACTTTCTCTGCTATGAAGAGAAGTGATTTGATATATGTCGAGTGATACCGTTTGGCCTTCTGGTGTCTCGCTACATTTATCTTGATGAAGATGCTCACTCGCATCCATTCGATGGTAGCATGGTGATGTCTCTCTTTTTTGAGACATTTCTGTTTGCTAGACAAGGGGGTACTGTGCTTTGTTCTTGTCTCGTGGCGTTTCGGCGCCTTCTTTGTTGATATATGAGACAATCAGACGTAAATTATGTGTAGAAAGCGAGACATGGTTCGTTGTATGTTCTGCAGGTCTTACCGTGGTATGGTCTATTTCTGAGGAGGTGTGATTTATAATTTAGTGCATGGAAAATTGTTTTCATGGTGCCAGATGACCTTTAAACGATCGTGGCATGGACTAGAAGGTTGAAACGTAGTTCTAAATTGGCTTGCATCAACGAAGTTCTAGAAAGTCTAGAAAACCAGCGAGCACAGAGGGCCTTAGCTGGGGATCGTAATGCGGTGTCATGCAGTCTACTGGCCAGCCAAGTGTTTCATACGTTGCTTAGCACTAACATCACGACGAGCTTTAGCATGAAGTCAATTTACGCAGTAAAGAATCACGCGTCACATATGTTCTCAAGTGAGTTCTTGCGTAGGATCATTTCTTTTGAGTTTAATTAGGGTGCCATCAAGTAGCCCCATTATACTAATATGTACAGGTAAAGTCGTGTAGTAGAGCCAAGTTCATCCATCATATGCATATCCACTCATTCAAGAGTCCATTTGCAAAAAAAGGTTCCAGCAAACTATCCCGGCGAATCTGCGCTTACAAGAAGAAAGCAGCAGCACCAAGGACAGCAGCAACCTTTCCGGCGCCAACAACGACAGCGGCGTTCTCGGTCTGCTCAGGAAGAGCGCTGGACTCAGCAGCGGACGCAGCGTCGTCGGTGACGGTTGCAGTGCCGGAGACGGTCTCAGCAGGAGCGGTGGTGGGCTCGGCAACGCCAGCAGGGCAGTGCCAGTGGTCACCGTGGGGCTCGCAAGTGCTGGCGGTGGCCTCGTGGTCGTGGTCTTCCTCGTCATCGTGGCTGTGGGATGCAGAGGCAGTGATCATGGTGGATCCAGAGGAGACGACAGTGACGGTAGTGGAGGCAATGGTGGAGGCAGGGCCGGAAGTAGCCTCCTCAGCGGCTTCCTCAGCTGAGTGCGAAGCAAGCTGCTCTGGGGTAGGAGCGCCAGTGGGCTCTGGAACGCCGTCGGGGCAGTGCCTTGATATCGTCAGCTTGGTTCATAGAACGCGAGTTTTTCAGATCGCCTTACCAGTGGTCGCCGTGAGGCTCGCACTCGCCACCAGCAGTCACAGAGACGGTATCCTGTGCTACAACGGCGGCAGCGGCAGCGATGAGAGAGATGACCGAGAACCTCATGTTGAATTTGTAGAAACGACCGTAGTTGTCTTGTCAACTTAGATATGTAGGTAACGAGGGAATGTCCTGAGGGCTCGAATAGGATGTTTCGTGGAAGGTAGTAGGGTAAGGAAGTAACAGTAGTACCTACGGGCCAAAAGTTTTATATCCCCATCTTCGGGTCGATGCTGCAGAGCATACACCTACATGGCTGGGCGCCGAGCCAAGGCGGCGGATTGCCTTGGCGATGGACATTGCGGTACTCAGTTTCCGTAAAAGAAGGCAAAAACTTGCTCCTCGAGATGAACGATTGGTAGAAAGTGGTCCTGAGTAGGCGGGTTTACCGAGTGTGACGCTGGAGTAGCGTGCGAATGCCTGTTGGGGGTGGTCTCCATGCTTGGCACGTGGGATGTGGATGTGGTGGTGGAGTTGGTGTGCACGAAACGGGCAAACTGTCCGGTGAGTCGTTGAGACATGTATGAGCAGAGACTTCAGATCGATGCTGGAGTTTGGTCTTCTGTCAGCCTGGCATGTCATATTCGCCTTGTTGTTGAGCGTGAAGTGTTTGTAAGACGAAGAACGCGAAGACTGCGTCGATGCGAAGACTCACGATGCCGTAGTTTAGGCGAAACCCGAGGTAATCCTAAACTTCTAGGTACCGAGAAGAACATCAAAACTAACGCAGGTACCATGCGCTGCCATTGGTATCTCCGCTGGTTGATCAAATCAGCAGCATGCTCACTGTCAGTCTCGTGGGATCGTTTGCCACACTGAAGAAATGCCCTGGCCCTAATGCTGAACATACTGTTTTCGTAATAGCAGAGGTCGTTATTCGTATCGGCGCGCCCGATGAGATCGGCATATTGCTCGTGACTTCATAGTGAACCGGTAGCTGTACGTAGTGATTTCTCTTTTACAGCTCCATTCAACACCTCCGTGAGCAGCATACCGACGACATGAAGACGAAATTCTGATCGGTCTTACGTCTGAGTGTTTTTACGAGAGCGGAACTTGGTGAATATCCTGTTCGTATGGTCCGACGTGGGCAATGACCCCAGGATTATTGAGGAAGCGCGACTGTGATCAGAATAGCCCGGTTGGTTGATTCGAAAGAAATATTCCATTCAAAAGTCGCTTCACGCTCGGTCGGTTACTTGGCTACAGCTGAGTGGCCTGCCAGCAAGCGCCTTTTCGTTGTGTAGGAAGATGAATGATATCCACGTGTTGGCTGTTTGATCGAGCGGATCTGCCAGACGTTATTGGTGTCCTGTCCGGGCTTCGAAGCCAACAAGCGCGTATAGTTGCGCATATTCCAGCATATCCTCAACGGCGTCGTATAGTTCTGAAGACCAGCCAACCCCTCAGCGATAGACGTCTGTGGCTCTGCGGCCTGGTGTCGGTACTGTCTTATGAATACATTATGTGTCAGGTTACAAAAGAACGCATCTCTTTCTCGTGAAAGCATAATTGAAGTCCGCTATGTCCAGTGGCATCGAAAATGTGTGATGTGAAAGCAGGCTTCCGGTAGAAGCCAGCCAACCGTCCCGCACGAACGTCCGCATTAGCTGAGCTGGGAGTGATGCGGGGCATTGCGCTGAGATACTTCGGATATGCAGAGTTCATACCGATAGGAAGAGGGCGTCATATCTTAACTCTGTGGGCGTTGAGTTGCATTGCGCGTGGTGAGGATTGCGTGTTGATGGCCTGAGCGCGCAAGAGTTGGACCCTGAAAACCATGGGCACCGGCAATATCCGGCAGCGCTCTGATATACCCACGTCGGAGATGAACGCAGAGCACGTTGGCTCGGGTATCGATAAGTTTGTGAGTCAGTCCGAAGGCACATTGCCGACGTTAAGATTGCTTAGCTGCCGCTTCTCTCAAGCTTCTGCGCTGAGGACGTGCACATATTCTGCTTGCGAGGCGAGACTCCCGGTATCCACTACCCGGTGATGGCCATGTAACGAACTAACCGCGCCCCTTATCGCTCCTGTCACCATTGCTTGCAAGTCAGTTTTGTGCCTACAGTGAGTCAGTAATTCAGATATGTGTAGGTTCAAGTCAAGTGCAAAGAAGGGGATATGCAAATATCGTGTATATTGCTCGTAACTTTTTCAGAGGTAGCCTTCTTTTCGCTAATTATGCACAAAACAAAGGAGATAAAGGTCTACAAATCTAACATCGTCATGAAGCGAACACGCCAGCAAAAATCTACTGCTTCCGCGCCTGCGCGTACTAGTGCAATCCACTCTCGCCAGTCTCAGCCATGTGGTTCTGGCATTCGACCATGATCTTGACCATTTGCGAGATTTGCTCGAGGCGGCTGATGACAACCTTGTTGCCTTCGACGAATCCGTAGCAGTTGTACTTGACGCCGGTCTTGGAAGAGAACTCGCGGACCAGCTCTTGGCCGCGGCGGAGGTTGTGGCGCGGTACGCGGGGAAACAGGTGGTGGACGGCTTGGAACTGCAGACCGCCGTGGAACCAGTCTAACCAGGCTGGGCAGTCGACATCCATGGTCGTGCGCAGTTGGCGTTGAGGGAAAGACTCATTGGGTCCAAGGTCGGATGTGGGCATGCCCCAGTGAGAAAGGGTGATCTGTACGTGCAAAACCATAGTGACCATATGCGAGACGATGACGAATCCGACACGGATGGGCCATGAAGGGAGGTAGACCCAGCAGAGAAGGTAGCCGAAGAGGTACCAGTAGCAGCACATGAAGAGGATTTCGACGGGGCGTGTCCATGATGCGGCACCCAGTTGCGCTGCTCGGGGTGAGACCAAATGCAACCAGCCTAGGAAGTATAGGTTGAATCTAGCGAAGGCCATGATCGGGTAGTAAAGGTACTTCTGGTAGGGGACGATGACATCGCATGCGGCGTCCCATACAAACTGGAAGTTGTAGAAGGATGATAGAACGGACTTGATGTAAGTAGGGGTGGTGGAGAACAGAGGGATGTTCTGAATGTCCGGATCGTGCTCCGGCATGTTGGTGACGAGGTGGTGGACGTTGTGGCTGGACTTCCACCAGCCGATGCTGAGGCCGCAGCAGAAGTCTGCGATGAATGCGCCGATGAGCGTGTCGGCAACGAAGTTGCCTGTGATCCCGCGATGACCGGCATCATGGGCTGTGAACATGATTTGTTGCTAGGGTAGGTTAGCAGTGTTGATACAGGCAAAGGGAAAGACGTACCCAGAATAGACCAAGGAAGACTGCGGAGGTCATGTACCACTTGGCGTAGAGGAAGCCGCCAAATGCCGCGAAGAGCAGACCGTATCGGATCGACTCTTTGCCGTATTCTGAGTAGCGGCATTGGTACAGGCCCTCGTCCTTGAACTGTTGGTGCAGCGCGCGGTAGTTTTGGACAATGGCCCGTTGTGTCTCGACGTCGAGCGAGGGGTTGTCGCGGAGACCTTCTTCTATCTCCCTCTCTTCTTGCTCGATGGCATACTGCTCCCTGTGCCTCTTCTTCTCTTCGGCAGCAGATAAGACTGGGGTCTCAATCTCATCTTCGCTTTGGATAAGAGGCAGCTTTTCGGGATCGCTTGCAGGCCTGCTACTTGAGCGGTAGACGCAAGTATCTGGCTTTCCAATCAACTTCTTGCTGATGATGGCGGCGGCCTTGTTCATGTTAGCGAGGCCCGGTAGAACGGGTGGGGGGTAGACCCACGGATCCCAGGTCGACGCTCCTCCCGCGACGTGACTTTTCGGACTCTGGCGCCGCGGCCAATCGCTTTCTTTCCGCAAGATTTATGTAGTAGTCCGGCGAGCGGATTGGAGGCTCCATGTTGGCCCATGGCAACTCGACACGACCGATGCGATGCTTTGTCATCATGAGCAGTGCCTTATTGGTGTGGTAGCTGTTGTGAGGTCAGTATTAGGTCAAGCTGGGTTGCTTACTCAACGCTTCCGCAGCATCCGGCGACATGGTGTGGCCGAACTTTGCCTGTTGCGGAAGGGCTGGTAGGGCTGGCGATATTTAGGCTCATCCCGCATTACATACATATTGATCTCGTCTGTCGCATCTCTTCCCACCATGTGCAGGATGGCGAGACGACCGCCCGGATGACAATCGATCCATTCTCCGAGATGCAGGACATAGCCCTCGTGGATTACGATTGGCTCGCCCTGGCCAATCCTCTGCTCGATCTCGGCGGGCGCGATGATTCGGTGTCGCGACATGATTGCTGGTGCTGGTTGTGAGAGGTGAGGGTGGGCGTGTTTGGTTAATCAGCGGGACAGCAGGATATATACGAATGCAGGAGCGGGCGAGTGCGCTCTGGCGAACCTGGGTTACTTTTGGGGAGATTTCCCGCCTACGCCGTGCGCACGGTTCGCGGGCCAGGCGAAATCTTGGAGCGTTTGCTTGCGAAGGGGGCGGAGCCGTTTGGTACGTCACTTTGGTGGCACGCATACGCACGCGGGAGTCGGAGGTGCCAACGAGTGGAAGAGCAACAAAGGAGGCACTCCCAACGGTACCGCACAGTGGGCCCGCCCAAGGCCCTGTAGCTCGCAAATTCACCCGCCATGGAGCCTGCGCTTAGCCTGGAGCGACCAAGCCCCGCGAGACCCTGAGGCAGGCGGGAGATCAATCTCGCAGCGCAGCGTATAGATGGGCCGTCGTGGGCACGAGAAATAGGAGAGTGGATAACGCCTTCCTTTGCTCCAGGTGTCCACGGGCCCGCAAGAGGCAGGTGCAACGCAGCATCGTCCTCGCAGCGCGCGCCAAGCCCTTGGGAACACGAATCGAAGTCCCGAAGGCCCAGATGAGCCCGCATGCGGCCTAGCGCAGCCAGCATCCTGGGGACTTTGGACCCTTATGGACCCTTTTGCGGGAAAGTCGCCCCGCACAGCGAACGCCTCTGACTGGCCATGAGCGCCTGGACGCGACCCGCCAATGCACCGCGGCAGGCAGGAGCGAGGCAGCCAGGGCAGCCATCGCAGCAGTCGGCCCTGCTGCGCTCCCCACCACCTCGAACCATCGCAGGGCAGGGAGATACTTGTCTGTCACGCCGCCATGCA